AGGTACAAAGTTTATTGACGATTGGACCAAATTCATAACATACATGGAAACAAACTCTAGAGACATAAAAATCACAGTAGGTTTAATATAATCCTTGCGATGTGTAGACGATGTAAAATGAAAAACTGCAGAATGGATTTAATAGTTACATAACCCAAAACCGAGATGGAGGGAAGTCAACCGTTAATTGTTGCTAATTAATGTTTGTCTTTTGGCTTGTTTTTTGTGTTGGTTGATGTTTTCTTTTTTCTTTGGTGTGTGTTGTTTATTTGTCTTTTTCTTTTTTCTTGTTGTTCGGTTATAGAAAATGAATAAAAAGAAGTAAAAAAACAACAACAACAAAGAGGGCATGGGTAGGCTCATGCTAGCTGGCAGCACCCACCCAAATGTCTCAGAAGGACCCTTTCAGCAGTCTCATAGGCATGAATTGGGGCTTCTTGGTGGTGGTGGTGTGGTAAGCTGCCTAACGCTTTCTTTCTGAGCAGCCACAATCATGCAAATCACAATGGATAGAGAAGCACTGCTGTTAAAGGTTTGTGCGGTGCCAAACGGTGTAAGAGTATCTCTTTGCTACAGATTATGAATAGATGTAATTTTACATGATAAGATAATGACAAGAATAATGAAACTGTGTGTTTCAAGACATCCTTTGAGGAGTGGGAAATAGCTCATCACTATCATCCATATCCAACACTGGAGAGACCGAACAATGCATTAAAACATCTTCCACAGAAATGTCAGAAAGATTAAATTGCTAAACGGAAGGTAACAGTCTGGGTCGGTTAATGATCTGGTTTGTATATTTCTAATTTTCATTCATTTTCTTGAAGAGAGAAGAAATTGGGTTTTGATTTGTGTGGGGGTTTTGATGTGATAGTTTTTTTAAAAAAAAATCACAAAAGTATGCAGCGATGGGGGATGGAAGGAATAGAGCGCTATTCCTTATCACAAACCATGTGACAATACAGAAGTGCCTATGACTAGTGATGGGTGGACTCCCAAGTCCAATTTGTAGTTGTCCTGTTAAAAACAGATTAATTGAAAGGATATCAAAAAATTAATACTTTTTAAAATAGATCAATTAATAAGATTGCTTCCTTTAGCTGTTATGTTGCAAACGAGCTGTTCAGATCAGATTTTTCTGTCTGCATAATTGACCCAAGTGTCCACACAGTGACCCGTATTTTCAAATATTAATTGCTATTTGCCTTCTACTCCAGTGGGTGTAAAATCTACAGTGGTACCTCTAGATGCGAACGGGATCCGTTCCGGAGGCCCATTCGCATCTAGAAGCAAACGTAACCCGTGTCCACGCGTCTGCGCATGTCACCTTTTGGCGCTTCTGCGCATGCGCGTGACGTCATTTTGAGCATCTGCGCATGCGCAAGCGACGAAACCCGGAAGTAACGCGCTCCGTTACTTCTGGGTTGCCACGGAGCGCAACTCGAACGCGCTCATCTCGAATCACATTCAACCCGAGGTATGACTGTATTAGATTTTAACCCTTCCTGGATGCAGGGAGCAAGGAATTAGAAGGGACGCAGGCATCATACAGACTACTCCCCCACAAACTCACAACAACATATTCATAATTGTGAGTTCTGGCTAATAACCAGTTGAGGGTGTGCAAACAAGTTAGCGCCCCACACAAGTTTTCACAATGCACAGCATCGCCTCAAGACTCTTTATCAATACACACTGCACCCGTATAAGGAACTAGATGATGATGTTGTTGTTGTTTAGTCGTTTAGTCGTGTACGACTCTTCATGACCCCATGGACCAGAGCATGCCAGGCACTCTTGCCTTCCACTGCCTCCCGCAGTTTGGTCAAACTCATGCTGGTAGCTTCGAGAACACTGTCCAACCATCTCATCCTCTGTCGTCCCCTTCTCCTTGTGCCCTCCATCTTTCCCAACATCAGGGTCTTTTCCAGGGAGTCTTCTCTTCTCATGAGGTGGCCAAAGTATTGGAGCCTCAGCTTCAGGATCTGTCCTTCCAGTGAGCACTCAGGGCTGATTTCCTTCAGAATGGAGAGGTTTGATCTTTTTGCAGTCCATGGGACTCTCAAGAGTCTCCTCCAGCACCATAATTCAAAAGCATCAATTCTTCTTCAAAAGCATCATAAAGCCTTCTTTATGATGCAGTCCTCACTTCCATACATCACTACTGGGAAAACCATAGCCTTAACTATACGGACCTTTGTTGGCAAGGTGATGTCTCTGCTTTGTTGGACTCTATCAACTCTAGCAAGCATTGCCAATAGCCAGGGGTGATTTTATTTACTTACTGAATTTATACACCACCCAGAGGAAAAACTAGGCTTTATTTCACCTGGGTCAAAGATACACACACATTTGTGTATCTCAGGGCTGTCAGGAACAGTATTCTTCAGCCACCAAATGCCTGGGTAAACAAGAATGTTTCCAATTCCTCTTGAAAGTTAATAATGATGGGAGACAGATGTACCACCCTAGGGAGAGTCTTCCACAAATGGGGAACCACCAATGAAAAGCCATTGTCATGGGTCAACCAGGCAGCCCCCAGGGGTGGCACCATCAACAAGGCATCACATGATGATCATAAGGTCCAAGATGGTTGATACTGGAGAAGGCACTTTTTTAGTTAAAACTGGAGGATCACATCTGGAGGATCAGAGGTTTCCTATTCCTGCAGTTCTGCCTCATAAGTGTCTTAATATTTCACATGTACCTCATGGATTAGGTTGCCTGTGTTTTTCCTCCTCTCTGGAAGGATGCCCCACCCTCTAATGCCTAGTTTGCTTCCAGCATAACCGAGGGAGGGGTACTCATAATCCCCACATCATTCAAAGCTTGCATGCTGAACAGCTTGAAAAGGGAGCCACCCTACCCATACTTTCTCCCACCAAGAGCGTATTTTCTACCATAGGCTCCTGCTGTTTTCTCACCAGCATGGGGTGAGTTGTTACTGTTCCATTCCAAGGGAGTGGTAATTTATCGTCACAACAAACAATTTGCCTGAGCTAATTAGTCGAGAAAGTTGTATTTGTTACGTTTTCTCAAAATATTCATGTTGATCACAATAGTGTTTATTTTAACTGCATAAATCAATATCATTGGTTCAAAACAAGGCACTTGATTAAACTTTGCAAATAAAGCCTGAGTAGAAACTAGCCCACAGAAATGTCTGCTAAACTGCTGGCCCACACATGATTACATCAATCATCTGTAGCACGTCGTAGATCTGAAAGAAGGGGAAGGAGAGAAAAGGATCTGGAAAAGCTGGCAGCCATACCCCAGGAGATCAATGAGATGACCAGATTCCTAGTATTTACTATACTTATCTTATGAAACTGTAGAAAGCTGCTGAAATTAAACATATGCATTCTGCTTAGAGGGATGTCACACTCACTGAAAACGGTCTTTCTTGTTCATTGGTGAAGTGAAAAATCTTTATCACCAACCATGTTGAGACTGTTGAGAGCACCACCCTCCTCCCCATCAATTAGGTTTGGGGAAAATGCTTTAGGTTTTTTTGAGCTTGGGGAGGGACATGGGCTTCTTGGATCACCCCCAAAATTCCTCATGCTGCTATTAGCCTTGAGACATCCTTCTATTGGTTACAATATGTGAGTTTTTTCAAGCCTAACTGCATCAGGGGAAGGGCAGGTGGAGATTCTCTTAGGGGTGTCAGGGAAGGTCTTGGTATGTGCACATCTGCCTATAGGTGCCAGGTTTGTAACCTCGTATCCCAACATTTATTTGTTTTTTAATGAAATCCAGCCATGTAGCCCTTTGGCAGTGGCAGAGGAAGAAAGGTCAAGGAGTGTTTGAGTCTTTCCCTCGTCACATCCCAGACAATCTTACTCGGCTATGAGTGATCGCCAAAGCAGCTATTTGCCTGCCCTAGAGGGATGATAGTGTTTCCACCTCCTTATAGCAAACCTATGGCCCTCCAGATATCGTTGGGATTCCAACTATCATCAGCCCCAGCCTTCATGGCCAGTTCTCAGAAATGATGGAGAGCTCTGGACCAAAAACATGTGTACAAGATAAAAAGGCGCATGAAGGTGGCAATTTTGATCAGAGAATGTTGTAGAGAGTTAAACACGCCCTCCCTAAGAACTGTTGCTCTGATCAAACTGGCAATGGGAAACGGGATGCATTTTATTTTTAAAAAACTTTGAGGTCCTATTGTAGATATCCCACATAAAGATGCTGCTTGCTGGGTGGGACTGATCTGATACGCTAGCTTCCTGTTGCTTCCAACTTGCTGTTGCTTACTGGGATATCTACAATAGGACCTCATAGTTTTTTAAAAATAAAATGCATTCTGGATTAGTTGTAGTTTCTGGGTCACCTTCAAAGGTAGCCCCACGTAGAGCGCATTGCAGTAGTCCAAGCGGGAGATAACTAGCTCCCTGGTAGGTGGGCCACTGGAATAAATGTACTCTCCTGGGAAGCAAGAGTTGCCCACCTAACAGGGAGCTAGTGTAGTACCTCTAGTACTACATGCATGCTCTAGTTATCTCCCACTTGGACTACTGCAATGCGCTCTACGTGGGGCTACCTTTGAAGGTGACCCAGAAACTACAACTAATCCAGAATGCGGCAGCTAGACTGGTGACTGGGAGTGGCCACCGAGACCACATGACACCGGTCCTGAAAGACCTACATTGGCTCCCAGTACGTTTCCGAGCACAATTCAAAGTGTTGGTGCTGACCTTCAAAGCTCTAAACGGCCTCGGTCCAGTATAGCTGAAGGAGCATCTCCACTCCCATCGTTCTGCCCAGACACTGAGGTCCAGCTCTGAGGGCCTTCTGGTGGTTCACTCACTGCGAGAAGCCAAGTTACAGGGAACCAGGCAGAGGGCCTTCTCAGTAGTGGTGCCCACCCTGTGGAATGCCCTCCCATCAGATTTCAAAGAGATAAACAACTACCTGACATAGTTCTAGTTACAGGTAGGTAGCCGTGTTGGTCTGCCATAGTCGAAACAAACAAACAAAATCCTTCCAGTAGCACCTTAGAGACCAACTAAGTTTGTTATTGGTATGAGCTTTTGTGTGCATGCACACTTCTTCAGAGACACAGTGCATGCACACGAAAGCTCATACCAATAACAAACTTAGTTGGTCTCTAAGGTGCTACTGGAAGGAATTTTTTGTTTGTTTGTTTCAACTACCTGACATTTAGAAGACATCTGAAGGCAGCCCTGTTTAGGCAAGTTTTTAATATGTGACATTTTAATGTATTTTTAATCTTTGTTGGAAGCTGCCCAGAGTGGCTGGGGAAACCCAGCAAGATGGGCAGGGTACAAATAATATATTATTATTATTATTATTATTATTATTATTATTATTACCCCACCTGGTAAGCCACTTCAAAATAATGTAGCTCACAGATTATCAGGGCTATTTACAAACCTGGGAGATTTTTCTTTAGAAAAAGAAAAAAAGCAACACTTTGATACAACTGACAGTTCTGCTGTTGATTGGAAATCAGAAATGAGGGAACAGAATACAGTGGCACCTCGGTTTTCAAATGTAATCCATTCTGGAAGACCGTTCCAAGTTCCGAAACGTTCGAAAACAGAAACCTCAATAACTGACAGCTAGCATTCAGGATCTTGCACTCAGCGGAAGCCGCGTGGCATGTTCGACTTCCGAAAGGTGTTTGAAAACCAAAGCAGTTACTTCCGGGTTTACGGCGTTCGAAAACAGAAACATTTGACTTCTGAGATGTTCAAAAACTGAGGTACCACTGTATGTATAATAATTGTAAATATGGAAATGCAGGCAGGGTAAAGAGGAGATCATCTCCCTTGAAGAAATACTAGCACTTACTGAGCCAGACCCAGATGTAACTGCAATAAAACTAGCCACACATAACAACTGTTGGCCCTGGGCATGGACACCCATCCCCATTTGAATTAGGCAATGCTTCTAGCCAGGGCGGCTCTAGCCAGTTCATCTGAGCTCAGGTGAGGACTGTGTCCAAAAGATGGAACTACAGGTATGAATCAGCACCAGCAGCAAGCACTGGAAGTGATATAAGGATGCTGGTGGTGCTATGGTTTAAACCACTGAGCCTTTTGGGCTTGCCGATCAGAAGGTTGGGGGTTTGAATCCGCACAACGGAGTGAGCTCCTGTTGCTCTGTCCCAGCTTCTGCCAACCTAGCAGTTCAAAAGCATACCAGTGCAAGTACGGTAGATAAACAGGTACCGCTGTGGTGGGAAGGTAAATGGCGTTTCCGTGCGCTCTGGCTTCCATCTCAATGTTCCGTTGTGCCAGAAGTGGTTTAGTCATGCTGGCCACATGACCTGGAAAGCAGTCTGTGAACAACTGCCGGCTCCCTTGGCCTGAAGCGAGATGAGCGCCGCACCCCATAGTTGCCTTTGACTGGACATTACCGTCCAGGGGTCCTTTACCTTTTACTGGAAGTGATTATACTGGATCCTATTGGAGCCATCACATGGGATTTTCAGGTCATTGGATGTTGGAGAGAAGTAAACCAGTTCACCAATGTTTTGCATTACTACTGTGCCTTTCCAAATACTTGTTGAATTCAGGTTAACAAAGGGTAATCATTCTGGCATATGTGCATACCCTTGTGTGAACACAGTTTGTGGGTATAAAAAGGTTGAAAGGGTAGGAGGGGAGCTATTATGTGCTAATGACTCCATATTCTCATGGAGCTATACTGTTGGTTTCTGATAAATGCTTTTTTCCAGTTTCTAAACCATCCTGCTGAGCTACAGCCTTGCTGCTTATATGCACGCAGGCACACGCACACACAGAGAGAGAGCAGTTTGAAGGCTGGAACTTCTGGCAAGACAAAGCAAACTGGTAGGACAGCTTCTGGCAAAGGATAGCAAACATATGCAGCAGCAGCAGCATGCATGCACCACAACAAATGAGAAAAGGTCTTTGGAATTCCATGGAGTGATGGGGAAAATATCTTTAGAGTAGCTTGTCATGTGGGTGCAGGCAAACTGCAAAGGAAAATGCAGGGGCTTCAAGTGAAATAAATAACCTGGAATGTTAGGACTAGTAAAAAATATTGGAGGGCTGTGGAAGAGAGCTCATGGGGTGGGGCGGGGGGTGGAATCACTTGTGTGTAGCAGCAGTGTAAAGGGCAAATATGTCCATTAGTTATAAATTCGAGCTTTCACAATAATTTATTAACCCTCAAATCTTAAGTCAATGTTAAGATTTATTAGGAAAGCAATTGAAAATGAAATGTCAAGTATCATCGCCATTAAGTAAATCTGATGCAAGCAACATTTGGAGTACTGTGTACAATTCTAGTTATGCCATCTCAAAAGGAATATTTCAGAGCTGCAAAAGCCACAGAAAACAAAAACTAAAATTATTGAGAAGCTGGATTGCTTTCCATATGAGAACCAAAGTACTGGTGGATTTTTAGCTTTTAAAAAACGTCACTGGATGGGACAGGCATGGTAGAGGTTTGCAAAACCATGAATGGTGCACAGAGAGTTGGTACATAACACCCCCCGCCCTATATCTCATAATGGTAGATGACTGGCAGTAAGCCCAGGACAGATAAAAAAAGAAAGTACATTTTCACACAATACATAATTAACTGATGGAATTCACCACCACAAGAAGTGGCGATGGCTCCTAGCTTAAAAAATAACAATTATCACAGAACATAATCTGTTAGTTGTTATGAACTGCGTTTGTACAAGGAGGTTACACTTAGCTGACACAGTACACCTCTGAGTTCCAGACCCTGGAAAAAAGCAATAGGTAAAGGCTATTACTTGTGAACTTCCCAGAGGCACCTAGCTTGCTGCATTTATTTTAAATAATAAGAATAAGCATATTGTTACGCGTTTCCCGAAAGAATTCTGTAAGGCTATCAGTGTGGGTATATCTGAACAGGCTTATGGGATGCCCTATACAGTGTTAAGTACTTAATTTTTTCCGGAGGTCCGTTCTTAACCTGAAACTGTTCTTAACCTGAAGCACCACTTTAGCTAATGGGGCCTCTCGCTGCCGCCGCACCGCCGGAGCACAATTTCTGTTCTCATCCTGAAGCAAAGTTCTTAACCTGAAGCACTTAACCTTAGCAGTCTGTAACCTGAAGCGTATGTAACCTGAGGTACCACTGTACACTCAAAGCACATCTTCCCCCACTCCCCAAATCCTAGGACTGTCGTTTACTCCACAGAGAGCCAGAATTCCCATGACCCTTAACATACTACAGTTCCTGGGATTCTTTGAGAGAATTATGTTCTTTAAATGTGTGGTGTGTACACGGCTCAGATGCATATTGTGACCATCTGCCGGTGCATTTCCAGCTGTTCTTCAACCTATGTTTACTTATGTTTATATTATATTTATAACTATTAAATTGTACTATTACACTGCTTAGGGATTCTTTCATTTAAGTGGCTAATAAATTATTCTAAATAAACACACACACAGCACAGAACAACAATAAGCTTCCAGTGACCTCCTGGCAGAGGAACACAAACTTGGGGGTAAGCGCTACGACCCTAGAACTTCTCACTGCTCTAAACAGCGCAAGAGATCTCTCCCCACCCCCCCTCTCTTCCACTCCTCTGGGATCAACTTTTGAATTAGGCTTGGAATGGCAGCAAGCGCTGGAGAGGCAAAGAACAGCCCCTTTTCTGATAGTTGATGGAGGAGGGAATTGCAGAAATGAATACAATGCAGAGGCCCCTCTCCTCCCTTCCCCCACCCACCCTCTCTTATTTCGCCTTTCCCGCCTTGCTCCCGTTTGCTTTGCTTTCCTCTCTTTCTGAATGAATCTCTCCCTCCTTTCCGCCCCCTCATCAGGCCCCAATGCTGGTCCCTCTTTCTTGAAACTCTTGCTGCATGCCAGTTGGAGGCCAGAGTGGGGATGAGAAGCTGGGAGGGGGCAGAGGGAGCTTTCCTGAAAATCACATGATTACCCAGCTTATATAAATCACAGCTTGTTTTTCTCAATTTGCAAGGGATTTAAAGGTACAGAGTTCCCTTTAAAAAAACACCCCCAAAAAACTAGGAATACGTTCCTTGGGCCTCTTCAAACTAGAGACCTGATTTGATGTACCCTAAAGGTGCCAATTCCTGATATATTTTTTAACAAAAATCAATTGAAAACACTTGATGACGCTTTCATTTACCAAGCAGGGATATAGCAATCACATTGTATCAGCATTTTACTATCCTTTTTCGTTCTGTGATGCTTAGAATGTCTACCAGAGCACTTGCAAAGGTGGCTACATCTGCTGTTCTTGGTTTATAAAGTGAGGTACACGCTACACAGAAAGCTTAGCAGTATGTCTACACTGTCCTCTAAATATGGCTGAACAAAGGGATGTTCTGCTGTAGCAAGCATTTTGTGTGGCTATGCCCATGGGCAAATTATTTACTGCTCTTAGCCATAAAATACAAAAACTTCCGTCCAAAGATAAGGAGGAAAATCTTGTAATTATTCTCTGGAAGTTGTTTCTTACATTCTGTAAGGAAACTGAGCCGTTTTGTGATACCATTTCCACCATCCTATTAACACTGGCCACATTCCCTTATTTCCCTCTTTCATGATGGGAAACACTGCCATGAGAACTGAAACCATTTTGAGTTGCCAGGCTTTTTCTCTTCTTTTTAAACCAACCTCTGTTCCTGTGATTTTAAAAGTAGCTTGATCTGCCATTGGTAGGGGTGTTTTTCATCGTGCTTGGAAAGCATCACCTGTTGATTTCAGTAGATTAAATTGCTGTTATGGCTACAGGAACAGAGCAAACCAGTTTTTACTGGTCAGCTTGCAACCCAAAACAAATTCCATTTATTGCAAAGTATATCGAGTAGAAGCTGTCAGGGAACTGCCATCAGAACAGGGGCGGGAAACAGAGGGGCAGTTGTGTTACAGGGAGCCTCTGAAAATCCTGCGAAGCAGTTCCTCTTCCGGGAAGAGGTGAAAGGACCAGAGGATGCTGGTAGGAGCCTCAGCACCACTTCTGGCAAAGCCGGCCAGCAGGGAAGCACGCCCTCTCCGTCGCCCACCCTGCACAGAAGTCTAAAGCGCAAAGAGGGAAGGAAAAGGCTGGGCGTAACAAGGCTTTTATGCTGGAGGAGGTCCAGGAAAGAGGCACTCCCAGAATCTGCTAGCG